CCCGCCGCCGAGGGACGGGACTAGCCGCCGAGGCTTCGCGATCTCGCCGCAGCGTGCTGCGCGGTCGAGCGTGGGGACGGAGAGATGGCGGCCGCGTCGGGGGTCCCGAGCGCCGCGGACCCGGGCCGAGGCGGCTCCAGGCGGGCTCTGCCAGCCGGGGGGCGCGGGTGGGTGTGCGGAGCCGCGGCGCACTGACTGGGTTTCGAGCAGAGTAGCGCCTCCCACCAGTATACCCGACGATGGTTTCATTATGCGCATAAGATAAATAAATGATCCGAGCCAATCCTCATTTGGAGGTGTGTGGGAAAAGCAGCTCCCCGGCCTATTTGAGCCCGTCCCCTGTGCAGACCCGGTAGGGTCAGAGACTGATGCAGACCGAGTAGGGGATGTGTGCGGGTGGGAGGGTGTTTGTGCGCCCCAAGCAGATGGCTGGTGCCTCTGGATCTACAGCCAGCTTTGCCTCAGAGTTCCTGAAAGAATCGCTAGTGCAGCAGACGACCTTTGTGCTATCAGACCTGGCAGTCATCTCCAAGTCGATTTATCATAACTTACTTTTAAAAAATATATATTGTCTGTAAATGTTGACGTACGCACATGTACACCCTACACGAGCAACTGCTAGTGGGAGAGGGAAAATGTAGAATGGTTTGGGTCGGCATCGCTGACTCCGTTTGCTGGCTCCTTCCCTTGGTTAGGGAGGTACCTGTATCCCTGCATATCAGATTCATACGGTACCTGCCTGGAGTAGGGAGAGGTGTCGAGGAAGGCCTGGGTAAAGAGCCAGCATCAGCACGGTTATGTGCTGATGGTGGAAAACCTCACTTGACAACTCTTCCCAGATTCCCTGGTCCAAGGTGAAAACTGGAGAGGAGGGGATTTTATTTACAATCTCCAAGAATGAGAGGCAGAGGATGGCAGCCTCCTCATTCACCTCCCTGCCCCTGTCTGATTGGCACTGATGATGGAGCCTGCGTTGGCTTGTCCTGTAGTAGTCTCCACAAAAATGAAGTTTTCAAGGTATCCATTTTACTCACAGGTGGAGAGCAACACGGTATACGGAAGAGACTGCGGAGAGCAGCGGGTGCATTGAAACAGGAAGCCCTCGGGATTTGCTGCCGGTATACCAGAGTACTTTGCACAGACACGGTTAATAAATTATTTTTGATGGCAGTAATGCGGCTGTCACTTCTTTCAGCTATCACATTGAGACTTTCCCCATAGGAAAGCTTTTGATCTTTAGTTTGATAGAACATGCCCTAATCTAGTAATGCTGAATTATGGTTCCAAATACTGCAAGTGAAAAAAATACCACAAACCCTTGAGTCTCTATTCCTTCAGCTTTCCAGTGCAAGGCACAGCCTCTTAGATGTAAATGGACCTAATCTCTACTTTCTTCAGGTGCTGGACATTCGCAGCCCAGCCTTTCCTGCTTTCCCACAAAACACTGTAATTATTGCTGGTGCTGCTCTCAGGTATATGAGACAGGAAATTACTTTTTCAAAACACTTTCAGTTCATTGGCCCCCAGTATTCCTGCAGCCTCTTCTTTCTTCCCTGCCCACTGGAATAAACTCAGTGTACAGGAAGCGGTGCTGTAGGGCTGCAGCTGGGCGGCTGCTCCTGTCCCGACACTGCAGTCCCACACCGCCTTCACTCCATGTTGTCTCAGTGTTCCCGAATGCCTTCTCCACATACCTCTCTAAATCCTTTCCACTTCTCATTTCCACTTTGCTTTAACTACTTATTCATGGTTCCCCTGTTGAGCTCATTTTCTCCCAGATCCAAAGCCACTGCACTTGACTACCCATTAGCTGCTTTCCCAGTGAACATCATCACTAGAGGGGAAAAAATAGAAGCCATTTCTTTGATAGCCTCATACTGGGGAGCAGATTGTACAAGCCCATCCAGGAAAGTTTGGCTGGTACAACAATCATTAACTTGCAGTGACTGTGAGGTTTCCTGGTAGCAGGTGGTAAGTGATGGGACTGGACTGGGGGCAGGGTGTCCACAGCTGAGTCAAAGACAAGTTAATGAGCAGGCAGCTAGTCAGTTCCATGGTAAGGAGTCTCATTCTGAGGACTCACAGCTCACTGAAGCAGAGCGCTGGAGAAGGAGCTCCAGATTGACTCTAAAGACAAGGATTCAAGTTAGAGCTCTGCCCTTACAAGCGAGAAAGCCACTCTGGACCTCTTTCCTCTTTTGTGAGCTTCAATACCAGTGCATTACCTAAGTCTATGGAATTGGATAGCTGACTGTGCTGTTCACTGCGGCACCTTTTAAGCATGGATCTCAACGTCAGACACCTTCCTGGAGAGAGGGAAGTGCGATTTTCTAACAAATAGGAATGACATACCTCAGCCATCTGCCCTGAGTTCCGTATCTTCCTGACTATAGTTACGTCCTGAATATCTCTTGGGTGGTCCACTGGCACATTAAACTCAGCATTTCTAATCATTGCCTAAAGTTTGGCCACAGAATATCATTTCTGTTGAATCTCAGTTTTCCTTTCAATGGCACCCATGTCCTCAGGCAGGAAGGCTCAGTGCCATCTCTGACTCCTTATTCCACATACCCCAAGTTCAATTAGCTGTCAGATCATCAACTTCCTATTACTATAGTTGCCCTGGATTCCATCATTTGTAACATCCCTGGTAAGGGCCCAACTTTAGATCCACAAGGCTGGAAGTATTCTTGGTGGCGAAACACCTCCAATGTGTCATCCCAATGTGTCAGCACAACAGCCATCTACTTCCAGCTGAAGCTCTGGAGAAGGTGACGCTTCCTGAGGAAGACCACCCAGCCTGCAGACAGTATACATAATTAGAAAAGTCTTCATGTCAAGCCAAAAATCTGCCTTTCCATGCTCTCACACTTTCTTCTTAGCTCATTCATTATCCAAATGTTTAGTGAACCAGGTGCCAGCCATGGAGGATGCAACAGAAAAAAAAAAAAAAAAAATACTACCTTCATTGACTTACATTTTAAATAAACAAAAAATAAACAAAAATAAAAAATAAATAAATAATAAATAAACAAAAAGTAATAATAATAATATAGTCTATCAGATAATGAGAAGTGCTGTGGTTGTTTCGGAGTCCTTAGGTAGTGCAAATGATTAACACTCAGCAGCTAACTGAAAGGCTGGAGGTTCAAGTCCACCCAGAGGGGCCTCAGAAGAAAGGCCTGGTGATCTACTTACAAAAGATCACAACCATTGAAAACCCTATGGAGCACAGATCTACCCTGACACACGTGAGGTCACCATGAGTCAGAGTTGACTCAATGGCAACTAGTGGCTTTTGGTGGATGTTTTTGACTACAAAGAACATGCCTTATCGCTTGCGATTACGCAAGACACCTCCCCTCCAATCAGTATCCCCCCTGGCCATGAGGACTTGACGCTCATAGCAGTATCAGGGTCCTCTTTTACTAGCTGTGGGTTCCCTGGATAATGTAGTGATTATAGAAGCCAGGCTGACTTGAGAAATCCTAACATCCTTCACAATGTCCGCTGGCATCATGCATATAAACTGTCACAGATTGAGTTGTGTCCCCCAAAAATATCTGTCAGCCTGGCTGGGTCATGATTCCCAGAATTGTATGATTGTGTTATCTGATGTGCTTTCCTTATGTGTTGTAAACTCTATCACTAAGATGAGATTATATGCGATCTCCTTATGTGTTGTAAATTCTATCACTGTGATGAGGTTATACTGATGAGGTTGACAAGATTAGTGTCTTAATGCAATCTCTTTTGAGATATAAAAGAGAGAAGCGAGCAGAGACACATGGGAACCTCACACCACCAAGAAAGCAGTGCTGGGAGCAGAGCGTGTCCTTTGGACCTGAGGTTCCTGCACTGAGATGCTCC